GTTCACTAATGACTGATTACTATAATCATGTTGCAATCATTTCCCTTACGTGCCTTGCGCAGGCGCACCATTTCTCTCCACTAATACTAGCAGCGAATATCTTAGCAGCCGATTGCCACGTTGTTAGTCTTATACTAACTTGTTTGGTGTGCACAACAGGAAATATCTCACTTTCAGAGAACAAGAAGAATAGGTTTATTTGCATTATGCTTATTATTTTGTGCAGTTATTCAGTGTCTGGTAAGTTAATGTTCAAGAAAATATATAAATTTGTATTAAAATGTTCTATTATTTTATGTTAACGATGACTCATTTATTTCAGCCCTTTGTATTCAGCATGTCTCTATCAAAATAAACCTACATTTCTCTGAAAATTGAAGCTTTTGATTTTTGCGGCCCACAGACACTTAAACCTTGTTTAATTGGCCCATGTTAGCCTTTGAGTTTGACATGCTTGTTTTTGTGGATCTGAGAAAGGTGGAGTTTTGTAGGTGTGGCCAGTGAGCCAGAGAGCCTCATGGAGTATTCCTGGGCCCCAGTTTGTCACAGAGGATATCAGAATAAAGATGGTTGCACAGAAGTTCTGGACAAAAGGGATCTGAGATAACTACAGAAAGTTCCCAATGGTCCCACCAAGAAAGGTTCAGGAGAACAGAGAAATCTGACCGGCTCAAGAAGAGGTGATCCAAAGTAGCTGAGAAAATAGAAGCTGACACTATCAGAGAAAATGAAGATCATTCAGGTTTGCAAAAGGATTGAAAGGTCATCAACCAGAAACCTGATAAAACCTGAGTGTTGACATGACAGCCACCATGACCTGGCACCATGGAAGCCCCCAGTGAGCAGGTTACACCTGGATGCAGGTGGAGATCCTGGGTGTATCTCTAGTGGGGTAATCTGGCTCAGAGGAGGCACTGTGACCCTGCGGTATTAGCCCTGTACTAAGGATGAAGAAAGAACATTTTCGCCCGGGTTTCAATTTAGTTATTTCAGATTTTAAAATCTGACCCAATACTCTGCTAGAATAATGAGTCACTTCCATGTTATTCAATAAATAATGTGGTGACAACTGCCTCATCATGTTGAAAAGAAAATGATTCTTTATGTCAAAATAAATTCCAGATGGATCAAAGATTTTGAATTCCAAAATGAAACCATTAAGAGAAAACATGGGGAAATATTTCTTTAATTATGTAATGTGAAAGGCTTTCGTAAACATGACACAAAATTGAAAAACTGTTAAGGAAAATGCCAAAAAACTATGAACAAAGTTAACAGACCAATGGCAGAAAGAAAGAAAGAAATTTACATCATATTTTCATAGGAAGAGAGCCAGTTTTCTAATTTACATAATGTGTGTTTAAATTAGCAAGAAAAAGTTGTTAAAAACTAATGGAAAAATGAGCATATTGTGTAAATAAGCAACTCACAGATATAGAAACAAAATGTCCAGTAGTCTGCAAAAAATTCTCAATCTGACTCATAATTAAAGAAATGCCAATTACATATAAATTTTCATGTATCAGATTTACAAAATTTTTGAAGTTTAATACCCAGTGTTAATGCAACTATGGAGAGACAGATTATGAGGAATTTGGACACTTTTTTTATTATTATTGATTTCAGAGAGAGGAAGGGAGAGGGAGAAAGGGTTAAAGACTTCAATGATGAGAGAAAATCATTGATCCACTGCCCTTTGTACATCCCACACTGAGGATCGAGCCCACAACCCAGGCATGTGCCCTGACCAGGAATTGAACTGTGACATCCTGGTTCATAGGTTGACGCTCAAACACTGAGCCATGCTCAGTGGCTAAAACAGTACATTTTTATGGGTGCAAACAGAAGGTCTCTCAGCCATTTGATTAAGCAAAAAAAGCAAGTTATATATGTTTATAATAAAAATATCATTCATGAAGACTTTGAAAAAATATATATGTACACATGCATGCACATATATAATATTTGATAGGTGCAATTATATTTTTCTACCAAAAAACAAACGAACAAGCATAGGAAAGCTGAATGGTTACCTTTGAAGAGATTACTGGGGACAGAAGTGGTGGCCTGGAAAAGGGAGAGTGCGTTTTTGTTCTCATAACTTTCTGTACTCTTTGTGCATACTTTACTTTTATGTATTTTTATTTTAAAAAATGACCTTTTTAAAAAAAATCAAAGACATGGGAGTTGTGTAGTTTTCCTTGGTTTAAAATTAAAAACCACACTTCAGTAAGTAAAATGTGCCTCTGGAGACCAGGACAGCTGCAGCTGCCAGCAAGGAGAGAATTTTGTCAGGCTTAGCATATTTATAAATTACTGGTTTTGTTATTACAAATAGCTGATTTCATTTTCATATCCCAAATGAGTTCCTCGAACCCTAACTCAAACTGATGCAAAACCTAAGTACAAATCAGTGGTCTGCAGGTGCTCACAACTCACGATTAGTCCCTAATTAAATCAGTCAGTAAAAAAGTGTCAGCATACATTCCTAAGTTTTGTTTCCTAGTGTTTTGGCAAAAGGGATGTGGAGAATCAAGACAATTGAAGACATGTTCCCTGCTTTTAGGCAGGCACATCTATCTTCCCTGTTCTCTTCCCCCAATGTCACGGGGCTAACTCCCACCAGCCCTCCTGTCACAGCTTCAATGACACATTCCCACAGAGGGACTCCCTCACCAACTATTTAAGAGTGCCTCCCACCCCTGCCCTCCTTATTCTCTGATTTGGTTGCCTGTTGATTTACTTCTTGGCTTCTATGATGAATTGCAGTTATTTTTATTTGACTGTGAAATTGGTTTTTGTCTGTCCTCTTCATTGGAATGTATGCTCCCTGAGAGCAGGGCCAAAGCTGACTTGTCTAATGCACAGTTAGTATAATCCTAGCAGTTAAGTAATATTAAATGTGTTGTAGAAATAAAAAAATATGATAGTTGTGTGTGAGAGACTAATATTCACAGTAGCTAGCCTTATTAAGTATTTATAGTGTGTGCAATATTCTGTTTATGTTATATTCATGCCATACTTAAAGCAACGATATGAGATAAATCCCATTATTGCTCCTATTTTACAGATAAGAAAACAGATATAAAAAAGGTAAAGTAACTTGACCAAAGTCACAACCAGCTAATAAGGAAAAAATTATATATCACATATATATAGTGTAGCAGCTCTATGTATTAAATATATACATACATATAATTCACGTTTATATATGAAGTATATAATCGAGATTATAATTTTTAGCTACAGAAAGAAGTGGGTACTCTTTCCGAACAAAACATTGAAGAAAGGATTTAATTAAAATTAAAATACTCAATTCTATTTCTCTTTGACATGGAAGGAGGAAGCTCATTTCTTGTGAATAATGAGAGAGGACTCCCTTCTGCTTTCATCCTGTGGAAAGGACATCAGTTCTTTCCAGAAATTCTGCAAGTAGTTTCACAGGACCCTGTGCACACGTTTGTATAACAACAGAGGACTCCAGTGAAGCCAAAAGCAGCCAGTGGCCCATTCTACTGTTTGCAGAATATAATTGTCACTTCACTATTTATATCTGGCATATGGTTATGTAGTGTCATCATTATCAACAGCAGGAGCAGCAAAAATAATTCTGATGTATAGTGCCTGGTGTTTTAAAAGACCACATGAAAACTGATTCCCTTTACTTTATTAACTTATTTACACTGAGTGACCAGATTATTATGACCACCTGACGTTTGTAGGCAAATTAGCTATAATTTCGCGCTGAAGTTGCTAGAGGGCCACACCATTATAAATAGGGAAGCAGGTTGTTTACCATGACAGTAGAAGTGATTTTTTTCTGAAAATATGTGTAAACAATGTGATTTAGCAGCCTTTGAACGTGGGAGATTATAGATATTATACAAAAGCCTAAGCGACAGAACAACCAAACGACCTCATGACTGGTCGACCTGTGGCTATGATGTGCACTGACCACCAGGGGACAGATGCTCAATGCACAGGATCGGGATCCCTCCTTTCTGGATTGGACCTGCGGGGATCGAGCCGAAACCAGCTATCTGACATCCCCCAAGGGGTCCCAGATTGCGAGAGGGCACAGGCCAGGCCAAGGGACCCAACGGATGCATGAATTTGTGCACTGGGCCTCTAGTATTATAATAAAAGAAGATAGTATGTCCTGGCTGTTGTGGCTCAGAGGTTGAGTATTGACTTATGAACCAGGAGGTCATGGTTCGATATTCAGTCAGGCACATTCAAAAGTTGCAGGCTTGATCCCCAGTAGAGGGCATGCAGAAAGCAGCTGATCTATGATTCTCTCTCATCATTGATATTTCTATCTATCTCTCCCTCACTCTTCCTCTCTGAAAACAATAAAAATATTTTTTAAAAGAAATTAGTATGGATAATGTAGGACATTTCCTATGAAAGCTCAATGAGAATGAATTGAAACAAAAGGATTAACTCAAAAGAAAGATTAATTTACTTGGACAAAAAATATCCTACAATTCATTGCTGTATTCTTGTTCCTAAAGTAAGTCTTTCTTGTGTTTTCAATAGACATGGGTCAAGAGTCTATAAATTGATATGCAGCTTAAAACAGACACACTAATTATAACAGTGCATATGTATTTCTTTCTCTTACCCAGTGGCTTTAGTCACACCAGTCAGGAAAACCATGCTAGCAACCCCCACTTTTAAAAACAGTAGTTACTAACAGGACTCTCTGAAATCAGTTTTCCATTAAAGTGTGTTTATGGATTTGAAATAAACAAAGAAACAAACTTTAAGCAGAGCAAGTAAAGTACTGTTAAAACTTTGTTGTTAATCCTCACCCGGGGATATTTTTTCCATTGAATTTTAGAGATAGTTGAAGGGAGTGGGAGAGACAGAGATGAGAGAGAGAGAGAGAGAGAGAGAGATCCATTGATTGCCTCCCGCACATGCCCCGACCTGGGCCAGATCAAGCCTGCAACCCAGGTATGTGCCCTTGACCGGAATCCAACGGGTGACCCTTCAGTCCTCTAGTCAACACTCTAACCACTAAGCAAAACTGGCTAATATTGTTAAAACTTTTTTAAAAATATATTTTATTGATTTTTTACAGAGAGGAAGGGAGAGAGATAGAGAGTTAGAAACATCGATGAGAGAGAAACATCGATCAGCTGCCTCCTGCACACCTCTTACTGGTGATGTGCCTGCAACCCAGGTACATGCCCTTGACTGAATCGAACTCGGGACCCTTCAGTCCACAGGCCAACGCTCTATCCACTGAGCCAAATCAGCTAGGGCAAAACTTTCTAATATTAATGAGTAGAACATTATTACCAAACAATCAAAATCACTTTAGAGTAGCGATTTCCTGTCTTTTTTGTCTCAGGGCACACATAATGTAATTTCTAAAAATATGCAGCACACCACAAAACATATTTTTTGCCACCCTGACAAAAGAATAGGTATACTGTAGCTTTGATTTAGTCACACCAGCTGGCTATCATTGTGTTGGCTGTTGTCATTTTTTATTTGACAATCTAAAAAAAAAAAAAGATGTCAGTGTGCCTAACTAAATAATCCAGTATTGCATATTTCAAAAATTATTGCAGCACACCAGTTGAAAATTTCTGCTTTAGACCAATGGTTCTCAACTAGGGACAATTTTTCCTGCAGAGGACATTGGGGTATATCTGAAAACGTTTTTTATTTTTTATCATGAATTGGGGGAGGCATGCAGGGATGCTACTGGGTAAAGGCTAGAGAGAGGACAAGTTGATAATTGACCCCATGGAGATGTCAAGAAGATGGTTGAATAGACATATGTAGAGCTCATGATGGAAGTCAGGACTAGAGACATAAATTTAGGAATCATCTGTTCATAATTAAATTTATGAGACTGAAAGAGATTACCTCAAAGTGAGTGCATATAAGGAAAAGTTACATAAACTCTGTGATAGATTGTATTTTCATAGTACTTCCCATCCGACCTTCTCATACACAATGTGACTCTGAGAAGTGGACTCTTAAGTCCCCTCCTCTCGAGCCTTGGTGGGCTTGTGAGTCACAATGAAACTAATGCAGTGGAAGTGACACTGTATGACTAAGAGTACGTCAGAGAAGGAACACTTGCCCTTGGATCTGTGAGCAATAACCCAAGTTCAACTACCTTGCAGCTGCCATCGTGTGAGGAAGCAGGCTCTCCAGCTGACATCTCAGTTTTCGTTGGCAGGTAATGTGTAGAAATCAAGTGCTGTTGACAAGGGTGAATCGGGATCCAGTGTGATGGCGCTTACGTTCTGCATCCAGATCTCAGCACTCTGCGTAGTGACCAGCCTCAGCATCTGGGAGAAAACCAAAGGAAACTTATTTTCCCTCTAATTATTTAGCTAGTAATTAGGAAAAAATACTTTTAAAAAGGACTAGTGTTATCATCAGTAACCCTAGTATGGCTTCCCTTTGCCTAGTGATGGTGGGGACATAGTTGAGGGTGCACCTGGCATCAACTTGTCTTTTCGTCTGCCCACAGCATTCTCCACTCTTCAAAAAAGGAAAATACATTTACCCTGACACATATATGAGGAAAATACATTCATTGTCAGTACTCTGGTTTTCAGTCACCTACCTGTCACCCTCATTACCCGCCACTTTATAAAGTAAATTAGGTGCAAAGGCATATGTATCGGCTTGCATACCTACATTTCTATATCACCTAAAGCTATTGTAGACCATCAGAACATGCTTTGGATGCTCAGGAAATCGTTATGTCTTTAAAATTGCTTCAGATTATTTGATATTATGATTATTGTAAGCACATTCATATACAATGCTACTAAGATGAGATGAGAAGTAAACTTCAAGGACCAGGAAGAACAGGCTTGTCTGCCTCATTACTGTTCTGCCATATATAACAATAAATTATGAACGTCCCACAGAAAAATTCCAAGGAGCACCGCAAGTAATATGTTTGCTGCCAGACCCTTGGAAGGCAGTATCATAGAGCTTCATATTATTATACTAGAGGCCCGGTGCACAGCCCGGCCTGTGCCCTCTCACAGTCTGGGACCCCTCAGGAGATAACGACCTGCTGGCTTAGGCCTGCTCCTGGGTGGCAGAGGGCAGGCCCAATCCCTAGGTGCAGCCCCTGGTCGGGCTCAGAGCAGGGCCGATTGGGGAGTTGGGGCGCCGCCCCCTGTCATGCACAGAGCAGGGCGGATCGGGAGGTTGCGATGCCACCCTCAGTCACGCTCAGGGTGGGGTCGATTGGGGGGTTGGGGCACCGCCCCCTGTCACACTCAAGGCAGGGTCGATGGGAAGGTTGCAGCGCCACCCCCTGTCACGCACAGAGCAGGGCCAATCAGGGGGTTGGGGGTCCCCACTGGGGTGCCTGGCCAGTCTGGGTGAGGGGCTGAGGGCTGCTTTCAGGCTGGCAAGTGACTAAAGCTTCCAACAGCTCCTTGTTTTCTTTTCTTTTTTTTTTTTTATTCTGGGCCAGCTTTAGCTCTGAGGCCTTGCTGCTGAAAACATCGATACAATGTTTCAGTCCGCCTGGCTTTCAGTCCGGCTGGTTTCTGGGGTTTTGTTTAGCTTCTTATTTGCAACATAGTACATAGTTGCCTAGAGTTGCAGCTGAGAGGACGGCAAGTGAGGCGGGGAACGTTGGAGTCCGCAGCAAGCAAGCCTCATGCTCGCTCCAGTGCCTGGCTGCCGGCCGCCATCTTGGCTGACAGTTAATTTGCATAAGGATATGCTGATTAGCCAATGGGAAGGGTAGCGGTCGTACGCTAACTACCATGTTTCTCTTTTATTAGTGTAGATACTAGAAGCCCAGTGTGTGAAATCACACAGCCCTGCCCACCTGTGCCGGTCTTTGGTCATTATGGTGTTAGGGCCAGTGGCTTTCTTTAATATAGATATTACTCTGTTTGTTCATTGTTTTGATTTGGGGTAATTAGTTATGAATTATTTCTCTAAAATAGAAGGTAAACAATTTTAATACTCTGTAACATTATGTCATTTATAAGATTACTGATATCCAATTATATGACTGCAATGATGTGCATATACATGAGCATACAGGAAAACACTAATAGTATTCAAAGAAAATGTATTTCAAAGATATGACTAAATACACATGTTAATTTGACCAAAAAATAATAATATAAGTTTAAAATTTTTTCAGAGCATGTTTAATAATACAAAAGCATTTAATGTCACATATTCTTAACAGAAGTACAATTTGATTTTATTGTTTTATTTCTTCATGTGTAAAATCAAAGTATCAGTTCTTTGACCCTCCAAAACAATTTAATGCACAAATTAAATTTGGAGAATTTAAAGGGAAGTAGTTTTTATCTTGACTTGTCAAAATAATTGCTTTCATTTCTCCATGATCCAATTCATATCAATTTAAAAATATTAGTTTATTGGCAAAATATCACAAACATAGTCACATTTATTTTTATAACCTTGGTCTCAGCTACAAAGTAGAAATCATAATTATAAGAATTATAAATGTTTCAGTGTTCTAAACTCACTCACATTAGGTAAAATAGGTGTTATATTTATTTTTCAGGTGATGAAACTGAGGTTAAGGTAAAGGATCTTACCCCAGAATGTGTAACTAGTTTGGGGAGGTAACTGACCACAGAACTCACGTACCCTGACAACTATTCCGTATCTTCATATTTTCTTTTCTTAAAAATATATTTTGATTGATTTCAGAGAGAAAAGGAGAAGGAGAAAGAAAGAAACACCAATGATGAGAGAGAATCATTGATCAACTGCCTCCTGCACACCCCTTACTGGCGATTGAGTGAGCAACCCAAGCATATGCCCTGACCAGGAATCAAACTGTGACCTCCCCTTTCATAGGTCTGCACTCAACTACTGAGCCACACCGATGGCTTCTTATTTTCTAATGAAAGCTGTCACTCTGCTGGGCCAGAAGGTAAGTCTTCACTTTAATCAGTTTAGTAATTATCTGTCACAATTTAATAAATATAAATAATTTAAAATGAGCAAAAATTGAATCTACATGCTTCTGAGAGCTTGAAAAGAAATTCATAACTAGAGGACAATCTTCTACCCGGATACTGCTACAGAATGAGTACAAACTGGCCAGAAAAAGAATATGTGCCTGAATTTTACTTTTACAGGGTCTTCAAGTCTCATTTTACAGAGCCTTGTGCTCAATGCAAATAGTATTTAACATCTAGATTGACTACAGTAAAAACTTTTTCACATTTTTCAAAGGATGAAACTTTTGGAACCCTGAGAGAAAGCAATGTATAGCCTTATGATTTAGTCCCGCATGATAGAGTCATCAGCTCACTGGAAATAGTGTCCGGGTCACACAAATGATCCAGCTGAACAGTTAATGAGTGGTTATCATGGGCTCAGTGTCAACCGGGTGGGAAATGAAAAGAAAATCCCAAACGTAAATTTGTTTAACATTTGCCATCAGTGACCCAGAGAGATAGAGAGCTTATTTAAGTTTGCATCTGGATAAGAGAAAATGTCCTTTCTGGTGGTAAAAATTTCAAAAATGAAGAGAAAGGAGTACAACAGAATCAGATTTAAATACTTTGGTTAATTGGAAAGAAGTGGTCAGAGAAAGAATCAAAATCAATAGAACTAAGAAGTAGTATAGTGTCTTCGAGAAAATTAGATTATAAGAATACAGAATGAAAAAATACTGGCAATTGTTTGACCTTTTGCTGTCTGCTTCTGTAACCCCCAAGTTCATTGTGGGCACCACACACACACACGCACACACACACACATATACACACACACGTACACACACAGTATACCAAACAGAAATAGAATTCCAGATAGAAAAAACTGTGGTGTGTATCAAGTATTTTATGTAGAAACTTTCTTTTAGTGAGACTCACAAGCTTCTAGTGAAAGAATACGTATCCTTAAGTGTTGTCTTGTCGTTATGTGTGTGTGTGTGTTTATAAAGTCTTACAGCCCCCTGGGTAAAACAAAAGTATGAGAGGTGGGGAGGACATTGTATGTGGGTTTTTTTTTCTCTTTAAAAAGACAAGTTGAAATACTAAGTGATTAGGCCAAGATTATGCAAAGAATAAGGTGCAAAAACAATGTGTCAAAAATAAAATTAAAATTTTGTTTAATGCTATGTATATTCTTCTCAACTGGACAATTCTGCCTTCCCTATTCAGCCTTATTCAAAGATGGATCTTTGAAAATAAAGCACAATGTTTGAAAATAACAAACCTCACACCCTGAAATAGAATAGATGATGGAGAAAACTAATCACATCATGCTGAAAACTTTTCTCTCGAAATTTGCAAATGCTACAATCAAGAGTATTTCATTGTTGATTGGCCTAATTTCTTTCTCCTAAGAATTTCCACAAAGATTTTAGATGAAATAGTCTTATCAGTTGGATGTGGAATAAATTGAGACCATGGCGATACCCTGCAGTTCAGATAGAAAGGGCAAACAATAACTTCGTATATTTTTAAAAAATCAATTTTTGCTTATGGGTGGGATTTTGCTATTTGAAGAGGGAGGGCAAAAGGACAATAGGATTTTTTTTTAAATCTCTGTCTGTCATGAACTGGGACAATTGTAACTTCTCTGTAAAACAGCATTCTCTTTGCTTCCCCCTTCAACACCAAGATAAAATTGTAAAATATGTTTTAAGAAAACAATGCATAATTGATTAAGTCGTTGTATTTAATAACTTGGGAGGAAATTTTTATAGTTGTACATTGTTTCCATGGCCCAGGCTACTTAAAAATGTGCCCACTTATTTTGGAGATACCAGATATAATCTGTGATAAAATACTTCTCTGGATTTTGACCTTTCAAATTTGCTCATTTTAAAACAGACTGTCTGTAACGCTCTGTGCGTGTGGGTGTGTGTCTGTGCATGTGTGTGAAGACAAACTTGTATATGAAAGACCCTTCACAAG